AAACCATTTAAAAGTTTTTGAGGCAAGTAAACACATATTTTACTCAGCAAGTTCATTTTAGAAGCAATATGTCAACGTTCTACTGATCACAACTAGTTTTAGACTTAATTTGTTCTAAAAATTATTTTTAAATTAAATTAAGGTATTGAATTTTTGCATAATATTCAATTTTGTAAATCAATCTTCCAATAAAATATAATCATGATAATACCAATTACTTATGCTAACACTTTTAGAATACTAAATATGAGAAATGTTAAATGTTTGTCTAAAATTAAGTATAAAAAGGAAAGCACTAATTGTCCTTACTTAAAATATTCCAAAATTCTCTAAAGAGCATGAATTTCAGGGTAATTTTGAAATATAGTCATATGTGTTTTCTGATAAATTCCATTCCTAAACATAACATTAATGTCAAAACAGTATTAATATCCATAGTTTTCCACACTCGTTTGCAAAAATCAACATAATTTTTTTTAAACTAAAAATCACAAACATTTAATAGACACAATCACAAATGTATGTCGTTATGCATGAAAGAATTATATTTCACAATTTCTTAGATGTATTTTTAAAGGCTTAATTATAAACTTCTTTCCCTACCTTATTTTATTCTTTTGATAATACCAAAAGATCAACTATGGTAAAAGAATTATAGAAAGCAGGGGACAGGTGAGAAGCCAGTTCTCTAAAACTAGAGTCACTAGTTCATCAATCCCACCATTTAAACTGAAGAAACATATAGTCATAGTCACTATAATGACTTTTATATTTTTAGCTGTTCTTGGATAAGGAAACAAAGGTTAGCATATGTATAGTCCCATTCTGTTCTGTTTTTTAAAAAAAGAAAATTTATTGTCCTTGTAGTAACCTAAACATGATTCTTAGAGACTATACAATACTAAACATAGAAATTAAACTAAGCTCTTTACATGAAGCATATTGAAAACCATAAAAAAAATTTAAGTTTGTAGAGGTATATGAAATACAAAAAAATACAGCAGAATAATTTGAAAATTAAACCAATGGACAGGAAAAAAAAGATAATGAAATAATATTACCAAAACGAGACTTAAACTGATTCAAACAGAATAATTTACTAATGTAACCATATGGTTTAGCAACATGATGGTACAGGTCCAATGTGAACAGAGTTGGTATGAAGGGAAAGAAAGTAAAACAGACACTCTAGTAATAAGAACCTAATAATAATTGGAAATATGTCTATCTGTGTCCTTAGAATATAATACTTTTTAATATATAAAATAATTTTAGCAGAATATTCACAATTATCTATCAAGTGATCCTCAATCATGTCCTCATGATAATTCTAATCACTTAAATCTGTCTAACAATAAGAAAGTAAGAAGTACATCCTGCATAAATACCCACTACTTCTTTGTAGTATCAAAAATGATTCAAAACAAGGGGGTTAAAAAGCTGACATTAAGGTGATCCTACCAGAAGCAGCCAGGAACAGCTCGTCACTGAAAGAAACACTTTTCCTCAGAACTGGGCTGACAAGGCTAGAATGATGAGGGGAAAGGCTAGATTCCGAGAGGAGGAGACAGGACTTTTTAAGATGAAGGGAACCACAAGAGAGAGAGGGGGAGCTGGGATACAGGAAAATCCCTTGACTCTGTGGGTAAGGTGCTGTGGAGGAAAGTAGCAGAGAAAAAGATGTACATTCAGAAGATGATCAGAAAATGCAGGATAAGGAAAGCAATGATGAACCAAAACATAACAGTAAAAATGAATTTTAAAATGCATACACAAATTACACTAAGCTTATGAAGTCATTAGCAAGACATATACCCAACATAATATAAATAGAAGGCATAGTCTAAAACTTAACAAAACCTTTACAAACTTTGCATTCTTCAAAATGTTTAAATCACTAAAGTAAGATTTTATGCCATTCTAATAACTTTTAGATGATTTCCTTAAAATACTTAAATTACCTGCCTTCTTTGCATAAGAATGTGGAAGATTAAAATGTACTGCATCTAACAAATTTTTAAAGCCAGAAACTTGTTGCCTCAAATAGAAATACTCATTTAAAGTGGTAAAGTACAGCTCTTCAAATGTTACTAAAAAAAAAACAAACATATCCCTATGAGTATTTAAATTGAAAAATCAGCCGAAACCGGTTTGGCTCAGTGGATAGAGCGTCAGCCTGCGGACTGAAGGGTCCCAGGTTCGATTCTGGTCAAGGGCATGTACCTGGGTTGCGGGCACATCCCCAGTGGGAGATGTGCAGGAGGCAGCTGATCGATGTTTCTCTCTCATCGATGTTTCTAACTCTCTATCTCTCTCCCTTCCTCTCTGTAAAAAATCAATAAAATACATTTTTAAAATAAATTGAAAAATCAAACAGTACCACTTAATTAAGCAGTTGCCATTATTCATCTTAAATAAATAAATGTTAAGTTATTTCTGTTCAGATTCAAGATGTTAATACTTTTCTTTCTCCTCTAAAATTTTAAATACTCAAATTTGACCATAGAACTATTTGCATTTACAAAGATTAGGGTACCTAGGGGTCAAATACCATTTCTTTACATGGTTAAAAGCCTGACTAAAAAAAGTAAAAATGAGCTTGAGTTAGGCGCCAAGTCAGTATCCTAACACTAGCATTCTAAAATTCCACTGTGACTAGTTGAGTATTTGGGAAAAGTATGAAAATAAAATCTTATAAAATGTCACAAATTTGAATCAACCGAAATAAATCAAATTTTTTTTTAAATAAGACCTACCTGAAAAACAGATGATAGCTTTAACTATGAATGGGGGGAAAAAATCGCAGTCTAAGGTTTATTAACTTCATTCTATTTTTGGCTCCCCAGTTTACATATAATAAATCAATAATAATCAGCTTATCTACTCTATTTCTCAGGAGACTGATTTTGAATATAGGTAAATTAGAAGACAGAAAATTATGAAATACATACTGAATTACAGTTTTAGAAATTTTAGAACAATCATATTTGCCATTTTAAATCTCCATGAGAAATCAGAATGCTCCTCAGGAGTATTTGAAGATATTCAGGGAATCATGATAAAACCAAAGGACTAAAAATGACTAATATCCTATAAATATGCTACTGAGGTAGTGAATAATTAATTATAGGCAGAAAAAAATAATTTATTTAGAGGTAGCTTATAAATATAGAAATATATGAGAATACTTCTATTATAAATAAATTTTAAAAAACTAAAAAGTTGGAGCTAGAAAATAAAATACAAAAATATTTTCATTTGATAATACAACTGACTGCAAACTAGAAAGCTAAGAAAATAGACTATTTCAGTTAATGTATTACTTGACAATCTTCTTTAGTCTTGGACTTTATGGTAAACTAAAGAAAAAGAAACAGAAAGATCAAGGAAATACTTTCAAAAATTAAAGATAATATTGAAAAGTGGCCTGGAATACACAAATAAATAGCAAGTGGACAGTTTTAAAAATATTTTTAAGAAAACTTATTCTTCAAATACTATCCTAAGTCTTTCTTGTTTTTTTATTTGTTTTTAAAAAATATTTTTACTGATTTGAGAGAGGAAGGGAGAGGAAGAGAGAGATAGAAACATCAATGATGAGAGAGAATCATTGAATGGCTGCCTCCTGCACATCCGCTACTGGGAATCCAGCCCACAACCTGGGCATGTACCCTTGACTGGAATTGAACCCAGGACCCATCAGTCGTAGGCCAACACTCTATCCACTGAGCCAAACTGGCTAAGGCAGTCTTTCTTGTTTTGATTATCATGAATTCAAGGCCAGAATTTCATTCTTTAGTAAAAAACAAAGAAAACCACTATTTGAAGATACTATATCATAGAAATCCATGCTTGAAACCTATATGTTCATGTTGACCAATGTCACCCCAATCAATTTAATAAATATGTTTTTTTAAAAAGAAAAGCACTATTTGAATGGTTCCATGAATATGGTTAAGATGCTACAAATCATGTTAAGATGCTTAACATGAATATGGTTAAGAATACTATCAAATATCAATTATTTTAAGATGTCAGTCATAATTATGTATATATAAAAATACAGATACTCTTTTCAAAGAATTAGGTGCTCATATAAATAACTACATTTATAAAAGTAGATAGTAAATCTACAGGCTTTTTTTTAATATCCTCTTTTACTTTGGAAGTAGTACTGGTTCTGGAATTAGATTTCTTTACATTGCCTTCATAAAATCAGGTCATTTTATAAATTTCTTGGCTAACATGAAAATAAGGTTATTCAAGATAAATTAAAAACAACACAAATAAGAACTATGCAATATGTTTTCATTAATCTGGCAAGAAATTGCCAGACAAAAATAGTATTTACAAAAATTGCAAACTCTTTTTCTCAAGAATAATAATTTAATGATTAAGTTAATTCTATTTTATGTAGTAAGGAAGGAATTTAATTTTTAATCAATTTTTGTCATAAAATATGTTCATAAAATTTCAAATTATCAAAATACACATAGGAGACAGAAAAATTATAAATTTCATACATTGAAATATATGCAAAAATAAGTAAAGAAAAACTGCTATTTTCTAATCTAGAAATTAAGACAAGAAAAAAACAAACATTTTAAATAACAAAAAGTTAATAGGTGTATTATTCCAAAATAACCATATTAGTTGTTCTTAAGATTTTTTCATAATAAAATCTTTACAAATATATTCAGAAATAGACAGAAACAATGAATTCAAAATGCTTATACTGCATGAGGAATTCAACTGCAACTAATAGTGTTCCTTTTTATTCAAATGCTTTCAGATGTTTATTCCTCTTAACTTGAGCATGAAATGAAAAATATATACTGCAAAAATAAATCCTGGACTTCATAGCTACACTGTGATAAAATCAATAAAATGTCGATTTCTGAACTATACAAAATCTTCATATTTGCATTGTAGTCGTAAAAATGATCACTGTTCACATTACCTTTAACCTTAAATGCCAAAAAACTGGAGAAAAGGCTTGGATGGAAAGCTAACAAGGAACAGAAACAAATTTGAAAAAGAAAAAATAGAAAAAAAATAAAAGATGGGTGGAAGCGCCTTACCAGTTTTGGGTGTCAAACTCAAATCTGTGTCAGAAGAAGAGGACTGTCGGCTGTAGGACTTGGAAGGTGAAAAGGAATAAGTTTGGTTTTTCAGAGGGGTGGAGGGTCCTGATGAGTGAGTATTGGGGTTGGGATCTTCATTGAAGGGAATCCTGCCAGAAGAAGGTGGAGAAATATTAAATAATCATGTGCCAAAGGATTTGATGGAAGGCAGCATGATCCAAACACCAGGAAATATTGGGGCAGGGCCAGCAGTCATTTCTTAAGTGTGGAGCTGGGTATGAGGCCAAAGTCAATCAACTGCTGTTTAACCATTCATCATTCTTCAAATAAATAATTATCTGCATTGAAACAGTTAATAAGCCAAGTAAAAAAGCAAAAAAGCATGAAATGACAGACTAAGGGGGGTAAAAAATATTAAAAGGAGAAATAAACAAAAAGAATAAATACATGACTGAAAATACTTGCAAATAAACAATGCTCTTTTTTAAGTTACCAAAGAAACGATGACTGCAAATGGTGTGTGTAAATATTCACAACTGTTTTTATATTTGCACACACAGATATCATCAAAAGAAAAATGTTTCCTTATCCTATAGCATCAAGAGTGCCACAGCTAAAAACAGAGCAGAGAGGAAAATGAATATAGCTACAAAAAATCATTGCATTTTATGCAGCATAGTTGCTTACCTCTTTTCCAAAAGCTCTCTTCCACAGAATAAAACAGACCCTACTGTAACAAGGTTTGTACATAAAGAACATAAGCAAATCAGAAGCTTTGGAAGCTATTTTGTTTAGAATCCAATCATTAATTTTTATTCTAACCAAATGTAGTTGTAATGGCAAAAATACATACTGGAGGATTCCCCAAAAACGCACAGTGTGCATACAGAACCCAGGGTTGTTAGAAGACCTATGGAAGAGACTTTGGAAACTGGAAGAACACTTTCAATTCCATGTAGTTAGAGCCTCTATGGAGGCTAAATACAGGATTTCTTCACTGCAACTGGACTTTGAGTGAGAAAAGGAAGAAGCCAAGACTTGTGGTACCTGCCTACACTACCTGCCTGCCTGCCCTCTGCAGCCACTCTGCCTGTGGCCTGCCTTCCCCAGCTCTGGAGTCTGAGCAGTCTCGTACCAGTATAGATGAGAGTGGGAACAGACACAGAGAAGTTCTGAGTAAGTCGGGAGCCAGTAGCAGTGTGAATTGGGCTGTTGTGAGTCGAGCGGCATCCATGGCTTGGAGGATGAACCAGCGGAGACCTGGGGGAATTTGTGGTCAAAGTGGAAGAAAAGAAAACAATACATACAACAGATAGCAAAGTTTTGTTAAAATAATTTCAAAGGAGCTTTAGTTAGGGGAGAGGAATTATTTTTTTAATCCCTAGCATACAAAAAACAAGTTGAAATTTTTAAAAAATAGCTAAATATTCATTCATTCATTAGGATATAATTATAGTTTTAAAGGATCAGATTAATAAATTAGGACTGTGAATACGAAAGATAGCAGGTAGAATTGTCAGTGGAATTAAATTTCTTAGAAAGACTAAGATTTGGATTTAAGCTGCTCTAAAATGTTTGTTATTATTTTGATCACCACAGAATTTTAGGAAGAAAATACCCATAAAAGTGAAAAATCTATAAATACAAAGTTCTTATATTATTTTTGAAACTGATATATAAATAATTGCTGATATAATTAATTATATTTTCCATAAAGAAAGTTTAACTAACAAACCTATTTCTGTCTAGAATCTTGAGATAGGGGTACTTAAGAATAAGAAAAATGACAGCATAAAGAGAAATGACTGAACTGAATGGATATAAGCCGATATAAACATTGCACATTTTAGCATATCAAGTGTAACTCAAGTTATACTGGGAACCAAACAAAACAAGGAAACAATTCTTTTAAAAACACATTAATAAAGCAATTTAAATGGTTTTTGTCTAGCTCTCCCAAACATATTATTTAAACTTAAAACAGATTAAACTACATTCTGAATTGAAATATTTTAAGATATCAACTTATATCCTGCAACAGACCACATCATGAGCATGTATGAATATATTTAGATCAGATACACAGGTATATATTCGTATATATTCATATACAACCTTTCAAAATAAAGTATATTACAGAACTAAAAATCCTAACTTCATATTAGCAATTATTTCATTATTCAATGCCTTTGCTTATATATAAGGTGAAAATAATCCTTATATATACTCTGATAAACTATCATATCTCCATTTTTTTATTTTAATTTTTTGTTGTTGTTACTTCTCACCCAAGGATATTTTTCCATTGATTTTTTTTACAAAGAGTGGAAGGGAGGGGAGAGACAGAGAAAAACACTGATGTGAGAGAGACACATCAATTGGTTGCCCCCTGCACACACCCTGACCAGGGCCAGGGATCAAGCCTACAATCAAATTATGTGCCCTGGACCTGAATCAAACCTGGGACCCTTCAGTCTATAGGCCAGCGCTCTATCCACTTAGCCAAACCGGCTAAGGCAATCATATCACAATGTTTTAGAATTCAAATTAAAAGCAGGCCAAGAGCCCAACTTTTCCTGGCGTCTCCTTTTCATTTCCATTGGCCAACAATCACAATTTGTCAAGGTTCAAACATGAGCTATCATTAATTGACAATAATGGTCTACAGACTACTTTCTGGAAATATCACTGATTTTACAATGGGATAATTGTTTCTGTTTTTGTTGCTAGTTTAAATTTAAACCCTTAATTGATATAACTAATAAAAATCAAACATCTCATTGATGATTTATTTGT